CTGTGTGCAGGCCCTGAGTGAGGTCCCAGGACACAAAGATGGTGGAGGACCAAGAGCACTCCCTCCAAGGGCTCACCTGAAGGGCTCTTCTCCCAAGGCCCCCTCCAGAGGTGTCTTTACTGTCCCACCTCCACCTGTCTGCAACATCCTTCCTCAAAGGCTACCCCTGCCATGTCTCGGGCAGAGTGGCTGCTCTTCCCACCCCCTCCCCACCAGCCTGAATGCCATGTCTACTATGGGGCACTGCCTTCGCCATCCACCTTCTCTCCCCTGTGCTACTCGGGCTTGGCACAGAGCAGGCGCTCAGGGAAATCCTGCTGAATCAACAGGCAGTCAGCAGTTTGGCTGGAGAGAATGCAGTACAAGACCTGACAGCCTCCCAGATGCCAACCTTGAAAGCACAGCCTTGGACTGTGGCTCAATTCAATTAGCACCACTTAGAGAGGGTGTGGATGCCAACGGCTGATCTGCAAGGCTGCGACTAGCAAAGCACCGCAGGAGGAAAAAACGAGAGTAAAGGAGGGACAACGGCTAGCAGGCTAGCAGGACAGCCACCCCAGGAACCCCCGCTTCAAGGTTCCCCCAAACTATGCCTCCACCCGAAGTCATGTGACTCCCCCCGCAAGAAGTGACCCAACATATGCATGAAGGGAAACAAGTGAACTCTGTCCCTTCAACAGAGCTGCCCTCCAATCCCCGACTGCATTTTTCAGGTGCGTCTCTGGACTCAGGTATTTCTAAACACCAAAAATCAGTTGGTTACGACCTTCCCATGTGGCAGTGTCTGGCAGTGTCTCAGCCTCAAACCCTAATAACTCTGCACCTCCTTCCTATCAAGTCACTAGACTTCTCTGGGTCTCAGTTTCCACATCTGTATAATTAGAACCCCTCCACGGCCTCAGGACTGTCCAGAGGGTTCCACAAAATACAGAGAGTGGTGTCTGAATGGAAGTTCATCACTTCCCCTTCCCTGATAACTCTGCAGAGTTGGGCACAAGCTAAGGAAACCAGCACAGTGGACAGAGTCCCCCCGGCCTGCCAGAGCCCCTCTACCAGGACTCCAATCCTAACACCACTGCTCTCTGCTGGGCAACCTCATCGGTGCTACTTCCCCTCTCTGTGCCTCAGCTCCCTTCTCTGCACAAGGAGCGTGATTATATGCTGTCCTCAGAGGCTCTTATGAGAATTAAAGTGCTCAGAAGAGCAAGCCTGATGTATATGCAGCAGCATTCAATACGTCTCAGCCATTAACGCCTACCCCTATATCTTTTTTTTAATTTTTCTTGGTTATACATTGACACAGTATCTTTGTTTATTTATTTTTATGTGGTGCTGAGGATCAAACCCAGTGCCTCACATGTACAAGGCAAGTGCTCTGCCACTGAGCCACAAACCCAGCCCTCTATCTGACATGTGACTGCTCTTCACAGGTTATAAAACATTCCCACATGCATTAAGCCCTCCATTCTCTCCTCCCCACTGGAGACAGGCAGGGTATGTAGGGGACTCCAGTGAGTTATCATGAAGACCCTGCCCCAACTATAATGGAAATGGTTCAGTCTGGCCCCAAGAGGGTTTTCTTGGGTTAATGTGAGTGGGATTGCTGAAAAGCAGATTTCCTTCACCCAGGTAACAGGACAGGGCTCTACGCTCACATGCCACCCTGGATTTCAGAACTGCCATGGACCAGTGACTGCAGTTCCCTCCCCCTCTTCTAAACGTGTTGAGCAACGTCACAGCTCAACATGAGGTGGATACCAGACTGGATCCTGGACCAGGAAAAGGCCGCTCACAAGACAATTAGAGAAATGTGAACGAGGTCTGCTACAGATGAGTTAACGGAGTCCCATCAGCACTGTTAATTTCCTTACAACTTGTAAAAATTAATTTTGCATGTTGTGTCCTTTGGGAAAGGTGGGCAAAAGTATTTGGAAACTTTGCACTATTTTTTTTTTTTTTTGCAACTTTCCTTTAATTCAAAAATTATTTCAAATTTAAAGAAAAATAAATAAATAAAGACAAAGGCATTTTTTTTTAAAGGAAGGCCTGGGGTGAAGCACACACAAGGCCCTAGGTTTATGCCTCAGCTCCACCCAAAAAAAAAAAAGATATTATATATGCATATACATATACATATATATTTTTAAAGGAGATTTAACATTTTAAAAATATCTCTATTTCCAGCTCTTCAGGGGGAAAGAAAAAAAGAATCAGAATCAGTGACAACACTGGACTCCCTAAGGTTAGGATCCCAGCTCCAGCATTAACTATTACATGGCCTCTGGGGAAGCTACATTGGGACCTCAGGCTCCTCAACATACAAATGAAAGTTTGAAATGTAGATTCCTCATTGGGCCACAGTGAGGATGAAATCAGTTAACATTTGCAAAGCACAAAAAGCGGGATTTGGGGAGACAGTGGTGACTCAGGCAGGCACAGCCCTAAAAATGTATTTAGTGATGATGAATTTAAAGCTGGTGAAAATGATAAATTTTACTACAATTTTTTAAAAATGTACCTGAAACCTGGTGAATGGATATACATATTCATTTAAAAGGGTGATGAGAAGAGGCACTGTCCTTCAAACAGGGCACATTCCTAGTGCCTTCTTTTCGAGATCTGCCAAAGTCTCCACCATACTCTACTGTCTCATCCACACCAACCACGCACCTGTGGTCCACCCCACTCTGCGCTGGACCCCTGCCAAGTGAGAATACTGCTAGTAAAGCCACATGGAACCTGCTGGGCCCCTGATAAGCACCCTAAGTCACTTGGCTCAAGTTGACCAATCGAGAAAATGGTAAGGCCAGAGGCAGAGCCCAGACTCCCTCTGCCTGCAGGTCCAGCTCTCATCTCAACCATGCGCACAACCTGGGAAGACACACACACATACACACACACAAACACACACACACGCACACATGTACACATGACATCACATCTGCACAGGCTTCATCTTGATGGAGCACTCCTAGAAACAAGCACACATGGCCCCAAGTACAGAAGGTAGCAAAACCCATTCCACATCCTAAGGTGACTCCTATGTGACAATAAACACTGAAACGCAGGTGGCTCCAAAGCCTGTTCCCCCCTGGCCTGTCTCTGAATAGGCAGTAGTAGCCACCTCTGCCCTCTGTCCTGCCTATCTCCTTAAACAGTGCCCCTGCTCTGCTCACCAAACCCTTTTTTTATTTAAAGGTCCAACTCAAGACCCACCTCTTTGATTCATTCAGCATTCACTGAGCACCTGCTGGGTGGCCAGGCCTCACAACATGGTACCCTGGGGAACCCAGTTTATTCAGGGAGACAGAAGAAAAGAGCATGTGCAGGAGCATGTGCAGCAGCATGTGCAAGGGTTGAGGACTAAAATGGGCAGCTGCAAGAAAACTGGTGTGGTGAGCCCCAGAGGACTTAAGAGTACCCAGAAGACACCAGGAGCCTTGCTGGGCTAGGAGCAGTAGATAACTTGGTCTTATCTGATCAAAACAACAGTGCAAGGATCCAACTGGGGAGGTCCAAGAGCAGGGGTACCGCTTTCTCCGAAATGTCAGACACCTCATTGCTTCTCAACTATGACCTAAAGAGAGAAGGTACCATTCTCATTTTGCACATGAGAAGCCTGATCGGGCACATCCTAAGATGTATCCAAGGCCACACAACATTTACGTGGCAGAACTTGGTTCCAGTCAGGTCTACTTAACATGCTTTTAAGAGCCACATTAGAGGGGTTGGGGATGTGGCTCAAGTGGTAGCGTGCTTCCCTAGCATGCGTGAGGCAGTGGGTTCAATCCTCAGCACCACATAAAAATAAAATAAAGACATTGTGTCCACCTAAAAAACTAAAAAGAAAATATTTAAAAAAAAAAAAAAAAGAAAGAGCCACATTAGAGAGATAGCACCCATGCACCCATGCACCCATGCAAAGCACATTGTTAAGTTTCAGATCTATTTGACTGTTTTGCCCAGTTAGGTTTGGACTTTATTTTGTAGCCTACAACTTTAAATTTCTTATATGAATATCTTCCCATTATATGAATATCATTCAACAGTCTTTCAAAGAGTGTCACGATTGCAGAGTAGTTGGCGATCCCCTATTACTTAACATTTAGGTTGTTTCCAACAAATGACTTTTTGTTTTGTTTTTATATTTGTTCATTTTGTTTTTTGTGATACTGAGTATCAGGCCCAGGGTCTCAGGCATGACAGGCTCTACCACTGAGCTACAGCCCCAGCCTGGCTTGTCTTTAACAGACAAATCCACACACAGTTCATCCCGCTGTGTCCTCACAGGGGGAAACTCTGCACCCCTGATACCACCCATTGCATGACTTATCTCAGATGAGGATGAGTAAGACAATGACTTTCAAAGTTATATCAGCAATTATTATAGAAGCAACTTTTTTTTTTTCCCCAACCCACCTCCCAAACTCAACCTCACATTTTTGGCAGCAGTAAATTCATCTGCTTATTGAGCTGGTTTCTCTACTGAATGCAAATGCAGTGAATGCGGTAGGATCTGGCAGCCAATGTCACCAGAGTGCAGGCTTGGTCTCAGATGACAGGAAACAGCAGAGATTCCAGAATCCAGCTGATTCTTTCAACTCTTCACTGAACGGAATGGCAAGTTGTCAGAATTCAACAGGTCAAAGATAGGTATATTCCTTGAAAATGCTACAGAACTTTAATGTTGGAAAGAAAAAGGGCTCAAGTCAGGACACTGAGTTCACACTGTGACAAGCTGTGTGGTCTTGGACAAGTCACTTCCCCTCTCTGAGCCCTGGTTTCAACATCTACAAAACCAACAGTTTAAATTAGAAAGCCATCAAGGATCCCCTCTTGCTCAGAATAAGGTCCTTGGGCCTGACCAGTTTCATAAACATGCCCTGACTATATTCATAATGCAAACTCCACAGCTCCAACAGCTATGGCCTGGACGGAAGAGACAGGCAGAAAGAAGGGGTCTCCTCCACCCCATGTCCATTACGGGGGCACTGGTCAGGATAAAGAGAAACACAAAGGAACAACTGCTTTCTGATTTGAATGTAGGGAGAGAAGTCTGGCTTCGTATTTTTAAAAATCATCTAATTTGCATCACCTGGGCCTCGCTTTTCATACGACGACAAGTGTGTTCATCATACTCAAAAATAAGTGACTGATTCATGACAACCCAGCAAAAGAGTGGAGTCAGAACAAGAGCAAGTCATCAGGACACCAGCTCCAAAGGACAGGCTTCTGTCTCTATTTTCTAACCGGCAGTGACAAGCTTTTCAAAAACCCCAGGCCAGCTGCAAGTCAGTGATAAAGGGCACAGTGAGCCCTGCCACTCCAACAGAGGCAAGCCCAGATGGGCGAGGCCACCAGCGACCTCCACAGCGAGGGAAGCCTCCCTGGTGTCAAGGTAACACCCAGCGGGGGGGGGGGGGGGGGGGGGCTACTCCTGTGGGCGAGGGAGGCTACTGACACTGTGGTTGGTTCCACACCAGACTTTTCTCAGAAATGAAGGCTCAAATTCAAATACTAAGAAAAATCAATAGCCTCTGGATTACAACCAGCTCATTAGCCTCCGGGTGGGAGCTTTGGCAGGATCCAGAAACTCCCTGAGCGGGCAGGGATGTCCTCCCAGACCAGCAGGCTCCCCCTCCCACACCTCCCACACCAGCAGGCTCCCCCTCCCACACCTCCCACACCTGCTGCTCCTCCCTTCCTGCGCCCCCAGCCCCAGCTGGACTCCACAGGTTCCAGCAGGTTCTTCCATCTGCACTCCACCTCCCCTTCCCCCTACCCTTGCAGCTTCTTTCCCCATCCCTCTTCCCTCCCCCATCTCTTTCTTCCCCCCTCCTTCCCTCTCTCACATCAGCCTTGGGGGTTGGCAAGAAGCAAGGACCAGAGCTCCAGGTTCCAGATGAAGAAGCTGATGCTCAAAGGAGACAGGCAGGATAGGCCCAAGATCACAAAGGTCACCCCAAGAATCAAGCCCTCTCTGCTAAGTCAGCATGCTTTCTCCGGCCACATCCAAAGCCAGGCCCTGCTGATGCGTCTTCCAAAACATCTCCCTCGCCCCACAACCCCCCATGTCGGTCACGGACACACCACCCTGCCCAGCTTGCTGCCTCTATGACACCACTCGCCACTGAGACCTCACCTGGCCTACCGGGGAGAGGTGGCCACAGGCTGGCTGAGAGCCCACAGGGCTGGAGGCTGCCACTTTCCAGCTGTGCAGCCTGAGTGTCGCCTGCTGTAAAAGGGGACGAAGACAGACCCTGCCGGGAGGGTCACTTACAAGAAATGAAGCACACGAAGCCCGCCCTGGATCTGGCCTCGTCAGGACATACACAGGGATCCTGGAAGCAACCCCTGCCACTCCCAAGGTCAAAATGCTCCCGGGTTGAAGACCCACATCCATAATATCTGTGTACACAAAGGTTCCCAGCAGTTTCACTCAAAAGAGCAGAAGTGGAAAGAACCCAAATGTCCACCAACCATGAAAGAGTGATCAAACCATGGCCTACTCCTGGGGCCTATGATGAGGGCCATAAAAAGGGACAAGGTCCCATGCAGGCCCCACGGTGCATTGACCTTGAAAACACGAGGCTAGATGAAATTAGCCAGGTACAAAGGAGACATGTTGTTGATTCCACCTTTTTGGAAATACACCACGTAGGCAAATTCGTAGAAATAGAAAGCAAATTAGGGGTTGCCAGGAGCTGGGGGAGGAGGGACTGGGAACACCCCCCAATGACATGGGGTTTCCTTTGGAGGTCATGAAACTGTAACAGGGGTTACCTGATGCTCTGACTATATCCCTTGTGGCTTTGAAACTTGCATATTCTTTTTTCTTTTTCCCAATCTTCTTTTCCCTAAACTTCTGCTCCCTGATCTTCTCCTTTCTGATCTCTCCCTTTTCTCATTTTCTCTGAATCACCTCTATGAAAGCCCCCTTTTCCTGCAGATGGGCAGAATCTCAGCCTTTGGGACAGGAGTCCCTATTTCTCCTTTGCCAGCAAAGCAATAAACCTTCTTTTTCCTTTTTCTCAAGACTCTGTCTTCATTATTGAATTGGCGTCGAGGACGAGGACCAAGCTTTCAGTTACCAAACTACCCTGGAACTTGATGGTGATGATGGCTGTGTATCTGAACATGCTAAAAACAACTAAACTGTACATTTCTGAAGGGTGATTTTTATGGTGTGTGAATAACTTCTGAATAAAGCTTATTTTTAATTGCCATAAAAATACAAGACAATAAAATGGTAATGTTTACAACATGAAAAGAAAATTCTGCCATGATGCCTCATTCTCTAGAAGATCCAGTCTAAGTCAAGAGGCATGTGGGACCTCCAACTCCCAACCCAGTGGGTCTCCCCAACAGCAGCCTGGGCGCCTGATAATCACCCCAAGCAGCAGCGATGGTAACTCACGTGGCCTTATCCCTGTCTCAGCGCACGCTGTCACCTTGAAACCTGCACTGTCTGTGATTTGAAACTCTCTCCTGCCAGCCGGGCTTATCTCCCCAACTAAGTGGAACTGCCTACAGGAAAGAGGAGGAGACCAGCCCTTTTCCCTCTTCTTTTATCCCTGCCCCTCGGGCCACTGGTAGGTCAATACCAACACCAGCCTCTTCCTGGCTTCCCCTGCGCTAAATCCTTGACAGCACGATGTCCTTACTGCTGACATTATAGATGGGGAAACTAAGGCTAGTGGTGGAGGAAGACCAGGAGAGCGTGATCAAGGCCATGATACAAGGGGCCAGGTGTTTCCCCCAACTGGGAGCACAGGCTGGCCTCGGCATGCAGGAGACGCACAGCTGGATTTCATTCTGCAAGTGTTCATCCAACAATCACATCGCTTGGGTTTAAAGCTAGATCCTGGAGAGAAGGCACCCCTAAAATTAGCTCTAAAAATCAAACAGTCACACCTGACAGTCTTTGCAGGCAGGTAATATACAACGAGGCTTATCTGATTTCTGGCTCCAGTTACAATTTTTCACCACCAGACAAACGCAGGCTGTAGTATAAAACACAGAATGTGACTTAGCATTTTCTCCACACATTCAAAAATACTTAATTTTTAAAAAGGATTACACAAAACAGGTCCTGCATGAGTCACACAAGGTCATAAAATGATGCGAAGCAGCCACCACACAGGCCAGTTGGCATGTCTGCAAATGCAAATATTAAACATCAAAATCTGTTTTTAAAAAATGATAACACCCAGTGCCAGAGTGGGCGTAATGAAAAAGGCAGTCTCCTACATTCTATCGGCCATGAAAACAAAGCATCTCTTTTGGAAGTTGTTTGGCAAATGGTGTCAAATATTATTAGAAAGATGCCTGGAAATTAATCCTGAGTAATCTCTACTTCATATAAAAAGCTGTGTATGAAAATATACATCCCTGCACTACTAGCAATGGTGAGAAATTGGCTGCTGCCTAAATCTCTAAATATGAAAAAGGTTAAGTGGATTACAGCGATCCACTCAGCAACGGGCTGCAGCTATTAACAACCGTGGTTATATCATCCACAAAGCACCAGGGAAAAAATGTTCTGTTCATTCAGTCTTTTGGCATTAAAGAATCTGAAACTGTCCCCACTGTGTGACTAGGACTATTTGAAATAAGAAGCCACCTGGAATAAATCATAGCCATAACTACTTTAAATGATCACTCTTCTGGGATGAGGTGGTTAAATAACTTTTTTTCTTTCTCTAGTTCTAAATTTCTTTTAATGTTGTTATATGCCATTTTTACATAATTAGGAAAGAATGAGTCTAAAAAACAATGACCAGATTTTTTTTTTGAGAGAGAGAATTTTTTTTTAATGTTTATTTTTCAGTTTTCGGTGGACACAACATCTTTTATTTTTTTTATTTTATGTGGTGCTGAGGATTGAACCCAGCACCCTGCGCATGCCAGGCGACCGCGTTACTGCTTGAGCCACATCCCCAAGCCCCCCAGATTCATTTTATAGAGGCTCTGTCTCAACCCCCCAGGGCTGCCTACTCCACCTGGAAGAGGCTGGCTTGCCCACTCTTCCGTTTATCAAAGCAAAACAAACTATACTTCAGCAAGGTGACCCCCACCTCAGGCCCACCACAGTCACAAATCTGCATCACCAATAAGTCTAGTCACAACCAAGAAAAGCATCCAGGTAACAGGTCACAGAAAAATACAGAACTTGCAGAAGTGGGGGCGACGGACAGCAACTTATTGTTTGAAAATGTTTTATTGGTTATAGTCACAATAACTGGCACAAAGTAGTCACTCAATAAATATTTGAGGCAGAAATGTTTTTGAAAGGGAAAATGTACTCATTTGCCCACACTCCCCGAACACCAAGGCCCCAGCCACCTGGAATGACCCCTGCAGCCTGACAGTGGTCCCCTGAAGTCTAATCAACTGAAGCTCAGTCTCGAAGTGAGCACCTTCAACTGACAGGAAATTGAGACTTTTGTCACCAACTAGAGAACAAATCAGTGAGAAAACTTAAATGTCACCATGAGAGTAAATGTCAAAGGGGGAAGGGTGACGGTAACTAATGTTTACTGAGCCTCTGCAACACTACCTGCAAACTCATAGAAATAGAAAGTAAATTAAGGGTTGCCAGGAGCCGGGGAGAGGAGGGAATCAGGAACCACAACAGCCAGTAACTACAGTCAGAAACCAACTGGGCTTACTGGTGTATTCTCTGCCTGCATCAGGCTGTCTGGACGTGAGTTCACAAATTCCCAACACTAACTACAGAGCTAAGTGGGCTAGGCTTCAATCCTGTCTCCTGGATTGACCAGCTGTGTGACCTCAGGCGGGCTGCTTCAGTTCTCTGTATCTCATTTTCTTCTATGAAACCAAGTAGAGACCAACCTCCTTAGGTTGCCATGAGGATTCACTCATTAAACACGCAGAAAGCGCTTGGTACAGTGCCTGGCACATACATAGAAAGCATTCAGTCAACATCGGTTAATTATTGTGGTTCTATTTTTTTGCAGATAAAAAAAAAAAAAACTGAGGCTCAGAGAGATTCAGTAATATTCTGTGCTCTTTTTACCAGAGCATACTAAAATCCACTCGCAAGAATTATTATGACACACTCCACACACACACACACACACACACACACAATATAGGGTTGTCACTGCAAAAGGTAAGAAAATTATAAGCTAATTCAAAGTGACATGGGACTGAAAGGTGGTTCAGTCCACAGTAACTTGGGGATAATACCAGCTCACGTCATTGTTCTTCAATTTATCCATTCAACAAATATCTAGACATAAGGGAACCAGACAGGGTCCCTACCCTCCTGAAGGTCATACTTCAGAACATGGGGACCCAGAAAGAAAAGAGAAGGTGGTAAGATCTTACACGGGAGGTAAAACAGGATAAAGAGAGGAACCCTGATGAGAAGGGGTCAGGGGACCCATGGAAGAACACTGCAGCAAGAACCAGGCCCAAGGGAGAGAGGCCACACCTCTGCTTTAACAGACCAGGTGACCGAGTCAGGAAGAAGGCACAGGTGGATGGGATAACGTCAGAAGAGAGGAAGACTCTGGTCATTCAGATAGAAGGTTCAGGGTCTTGTGGGCGACCGGCTGGATCTCAATGGAGAGCAATACGTCGTCATGGAGGGACTGAAGCAGTGGAATAACATGACGCCATCTGTGAGACCAGAAACATCTCAGAAAGTCCAAGAGCCTAGCCCATGGGGCTGGGGACGTGGCTCGATTGCAAAACACTTGCTAACATGTGCAAGGCACCAGGTTCAACCACCAGTTCTGCAAAGACACAGAGAGAAAGAGCAGCTAGCGTGTGGCTGAGACCTGAGGAAGGTCCAGGGTCCTATTATCCCTAAATTTTCCTTCTCTTTGTCACTAACCCCACAAAACCCTGATCGATCATGCCCCCTTTCTGGGCCTCTATTTCCAACAGAGATTTGGCTTATGTGGCTCTCAACCCTGGCTGCATATTAACATCTCATGAGGAGTTTATAAAACAGCACAACTGGGGATGGTGTGTCCCCACCCATCCTCATACCAGATTGGCTTGGTCTGGGGTGGGGGCCTCCAGTTGGCACTTTATAGCAAGAGCTCCCCAGGTGCAGCCACAGCTGGAAAGAACCTACCAAAGGGGGCTTCGAAGGCCTTTCCCCTCAATGGTGTAAGTCTGAACTTGGAAAGCTGCCTAAACACAGAACGTGCTGCCTTAAGAGGTAGCAGGGACGAAGTGGAGCAAATTATATGTCACGTTTGTATGACGGTGTCAAAATGAACCCCAATATTACATATAACTCTAATGCACGAATAAAAAAAGAAAAAAGAAGAAGCGGGGGGGGGGGGGGGGCTGGGGATGTGGCTCAAGCGGTAGCGCGCTCGCCTGGCATGCGTGCGGCCTGGGTTCGATCCTCAGCACCACATACAAACAAAGATGTTGTGTCCCAATAGCAAGACTGTGGAACCAACCTAGATGCCCTTCAATAGACGAATGGATAAAAAAAATGTGGCATTTATACACAATGGAGTATTACTCTGCATTAAAAAATGACAAAATCATAGAATTTGCAGGGAAATGGATGGCATTAGAGCAGATTATGCTAAGTGAAGCTAGCCAATCCCTAAAAAACAAATGCCAAATGACTTCTTTGATATAAGGAGAGTAACTAAGAACAGAGTTGGGAGGAAGAGCATGAGAAGAAGATTAACATTAAACAGGGGTGAGAGGTGGGAGGGAAAAGGAAAGGGAAGGGAAATTGCATGGAAATGGAAGGAGACCCTCATGGTTATACAAAATTACATACAAGAGGAAGTGAGGGGAAAGGGGAAAAAAAAACAAGGGGGAGAAATGAATTACAGTAGATGGGGTAGAGAGAGAAGATGGGAGGGGAGGGGATGGGGGATAGTAGAGGATAGGAAAGATAGCAGAATACAACACACACTAGTATAGCAATATGTAAAACAGTGGATGTGTAACGGATGTGATGCTGCAATCTGTATACGGGGTAAAAATGGGAGTTCATAACCCACTTGAATCAAAGTGTGAAATATGATATG